TGGAGCTAGCATCGTCACCTTCATTGACCCAGTTAGCATCACAGAACCCTTCCATCACTACTGGGAATCCTACATAGTCAAGACCCCAGTCCAGTGTGCCTCTGAGGTACCGTAGTACCCTGTTCAGTGCATCCCAATGTGCACTACTTGGGTTGTGAGTATAGTGACTGAGTCTATTCACTGCAAAAGCAATATTAGGCCTAGTATAATTCATTAGGAACATTAAACTTCCAATAATTTTTGCATATTCTCCTTGAGATATACTTTCCTCCTTGTTTTTAAACAGTTTGATACTCGGATCATAAGGGGTTTTAGCCGGGGTCACATCAAAGCTATTGAACTTCTTTAATAGTTTTTCAGTATAATGGCCTTGAGCCAGATGGTAACCTTTAGTGGTTTTTGTAACTTTTACCCCAAGAATCACATCGGCTTCCCCTAGATCCTTCATATCAAATTTGGTACTCAAGACCCGTTTTCTTTCACTGATTGTGTCAATATTTGAACTAAATATCAACATATCATCTACATAGAAACATATAATCACAAATTCAGACTCAACCTCTTTCGAATATAAGCAAGCATCTGACCGGTTAGCCGAGTAACCTAGGTCTAATAAGGTATTATGAAACTTTTCGTACTACTATTTAGGGGCTTGCTTCAAGCCATATAAAGACTTTTTGAGTCTACATACCTTTCTTTCTTGACTAGGTTCGGCACACCCGGGAGGTTGCACCATGTAGATTTCTTCTTCCAAGTCACCATTAAGGAACACAGTTGTTACGTCCATCTGGTGAACTAACAACCTGTGCATTGAGGCAAACGCAAACAAAACACGAACGGTTGCTATTTCTGTTACTGGTGAATATGTATCAAAGTAATCTTCACCAGACCTCTGAGTATAGCCTTTAGCTACAAGTCTGGCTTTAAATCTTTCAATAGACCCATCTGGTCTTAATTTTCTTTTAAAGATCCACTTGCAACCTATTGGTTTACACCCTTTTGGGAGATCTACTAACTCCCAAGTGAGATTTCACTTAATTGAGTCTAACTCACTTTTTATGGCTTCTTTCCACAATGTGCAATCAACAGACCTCATGGCCTCGTCAACAGTTCTCAGCTCTTCTTCTAAAACAAACTGACAAATGAAATGATCACATATTTCATTTATATCATGCAATTCAGTCATGTAAGTAATGAAATCTGAACCAAAACTTTTCTCAGTTCTTGACCTTTTACTTCTTCTAGGTTCACAAAAGTCATCTAGAGAACTAGTAAAAGGAAGACATTCAGGTTCACCAAATTGACGACTATTATCAGTTAGGTTGTGAGCATTTTTCAATTGAAATATGTTTTCAAAGAACACAGCATCTCGTGACTCACATATGGAATGATCCTTTAAACACATAAATCTATAGGCGGCGCTGTTTTCAACATAGCCCACAAGAATGGCATCTAAAGTTTTAGACCCTATGTTGGGTCTTTTGAAGGATGGAAGTCCCACTTTGGCTAGGCACCCCCACACTTTGAGGTATTTTAAGTTGGGGGCATGCCCTTTCCACAGTTCATGCTGGGTTTTCTCAAACCCTTTATGGGGAACCCTGTTCAACACGGCTTCTCCCCACAGGGAGTCTGGAGCACCTGCACTGATTAGCATTGCATTGAGCATTTTTCTTTCTGCTATTCCATTTTGTTGGGGAGTGTATGGAGCAGTTACTTCATGAATAATTCCATACTTTTCACACAAGTTTTTCAAAATTTTTGCTTCATATTCACCTCCCCTATCAGAACGAAGCCTTTTGATCTTCTTATCTAGTTGATTTTCTATTTCTTATTTAAAAATCAAGAATTTTTGTTCTGCTTCGTCTTTCGTTCTTAACAAAAACACTTTTGTAAAGCGGGAAAAATCATCAATGAAAGTTATATAATACTGCATTCCACCTCTACTTTCAGTACTCTTAAAGTTAGCCAGATCAGAATGTATCAATTCTAAAACTGAAGTAGAACGAGAGTTTACAACTGAAAATGATTTTCTAGCAAACTTAGCTTCAACACATACTTCACATTGAGAATTTGAATCAGTAGACAGATTTGGCAATAAATCCATACTTTTTAGTCTATTTAAGCAGTTTAAGCCAATATGACCTAGTCTACCATGCCAAATGTTTACTGAGATAGAAAGGTAAGCAGAAGAAGCATTATTATTATTTGGGTCGTGCCATTTAACAACATCATGATTCGATGCAGATCTAACTACGTTTACATCCAGCACAAAAAGACCATTATGTAAATATCCTTTCCCGAGGTATTTTTCCCCTCGAGTCATGACCAGGCGGTTAGACTCAAAAACTAACTTAATCCCAGCCTTATTCAACAAGGCTCCAGAGATTAAGTTTCTACGGAGGGTAGGAACAAATAGCACATATTGCAAAAGAAGTTTCTTGCCAGAATATAACATAAGTTCTATTGTTCCACTACCCCTTACCTCGGAAACACTGGAGTTTCCCATGAATACTTGTTCCCCTTCAGTCGACACGAACTCTTTGAACATGTCTCGGCTTGTGAAAGAAGTGACGAGAGGCTCCAGTGTCTACCACCCATTCTTCCTGATTTTATACTATGTTGACCTCAGTGATCACAGCCGCAATCACTTCGGTGTCTTCTGCATTCTCAAGTAAGTTGGCTTGATTCCTTGAATCATCATGGTTTGCTTTCTGGGAATTTTGATTGTGAATCCCTTTGCGATGATAGCATTGTGCTGCACGATGCCCCTGTTTCCCGCAAACGTAGCATCCACCGCTTTTCCCTTTTTTCTGAATTTTGTCATTTTGGAAGCGATTGTCATTGTTGTTGGGCTTGTTGTTCCTTTTGTTATTTTTGTTCTGACCACCAGGTTTTTCCCTCTTCTGATTAAAACTCGATTCAACAATGTTAGCCTTAAAATTTCCAGAATAGTTAACCGACATGGTTTCGCGAATTGTAGCTTCAATGTTGATGGATTTCACCAACTCCTCCAATGTAGTCGCCTTTGAATTATGCTTCATTTTGTTTTGGAAACTTTCCCAAGATTCAGGCAATTTCTCTATTAGTGCATCACACAAAAATGTATCATTTACCTGGGTACCTTCTGAGAGCATATCTGTGACTAGATTTTCGTATTCATGGACCTGCTCCAGAATTGGCTTCGAGTCTGTCATTTTGAAATTAAGCCATCTTGCAACAGCATATTTTCGACGCCCGGCATCATCAGAACCGTATTTGTTTTGTAAGAGATCCCAGATTGTTTTTGCGCACCTTTGTTTTTCGTAGATATCAAAGATAGAGTCTACCATATTTTGTACCAGTGTCGCATGTACATATTTGTTGTCCTTGTTGTATTTGTTGCGCATTTCTTCAGTGATTGCAGTTTCTTTTGAAGAAGAAGATGCACCAGTAGTAGTGCTTTTAGCTGAAGCCGTAGTCTGCGAGTCAGCGGTCTGAAGGGCCGTAGACGTGGACTTCTGCGTTGCAGTTGTCGATGGCTGGACAAGATACATCGAAGAATCCTAAAGCAGTACGTAGTCCGTTTCAGTTTGCTCGAAGTGTATGAATATCTTTGCAGACCACCTGCGATAGTTCAAGCCATTGAGTGGCTCAAGTTTGGCGAGATCAACCGTGGGTTTAGAGAGGAGAGAAGACATTGCCATCGTAAATTGCTTTTAACTGTTGGAACTTTGGGTCTAAACAATGTCTGTATGCTGGAAAGTGAAGGAGTGATAAGGAAACCTCTACTCTGTGTCTTGTTCGTAGGAACACTGCCCTTAAAAGCAATTCCCGACTTCTCACGGTTGCTTTCGACCGGTAATACAGGCACGCTAGCTTGCGCTTGGGCAAAACTAATAACAAAGCTCAGACTATAGCAGAAGAAGATGATTTGTGTGTATACATCTGTGTGTATATCTCTGTAAGTTTTGGAGCTTGGTTGCATGGCTATTTATAGTGCATGGTTTAACCAACTCTTTCATACACACCACATGAACATGTGCTATAATTGTGGAAGACTCTGTTGATTGATCAACGTCTCAAGGCTTGCGGACAAGAAGAAAAACTCTTACGTACATGCCCAAATATTTAGGAGGCAATATTAATAATTAATAATTATAACAAATTATATTGAACAACCCTTTTTTGTGAATGGACTTCCAACACTTAGGACTGAAATTATGATTACTTACAAAGTATAATTCTAATATAAAATATTGTAATACTTATAACTGAAATTATGATTACTTACAAAGTATAATTCTAATATAAAATAAAATGTTACTTATAAAAGAAATTGTAATATTTATTGTAATATGATTTTGAATTAAAAATAATTCGTTAATTTTGATAGACATTGTTGTACTTATATGTGAAATTGTGATACTATTTTGGATAAAATTAATTATTACTAATGATAAATATTATAACAAAAATACTAGAAGTACTTCCAATATCATACTCCCAAATTGTACTCCCACTTGTGTTTAAATTTGATTGGAAGAAAAAAGAAAAAGAATGGATAAATATCATGGCCCCTTACTAAATTAAGCAATCAAGACATGCCTTGTCATAGGGAGTGCAAAATGAGAGTATATTTTGGGATGTAGTACATGTAGAATTACATATTATAATTATTTATAATTAAAATTGCGATGTTTACACATTCACTTGTCTACAAACGGACCCGTTTCAACTTTCACGGACTGGTCTCACACAAGTTAATGCATTTATATAATAATAATATAATACGGTGTAGTTGTATTTAGTTAGCTTGGGTCCTATATATTATTAAAAAAAAAATATTAAAAAATCCTAAGGCTTTGACAACCACACAACCTTAAGGGGAGTTTGTTAGTCTGTTATGTTCCTCAACCACGAAAAGTTAGAAAATAAATATCTTCCTCTCATACAAACTGCCATTCACAAGTATTTAAACCACATTCCAGGGACTCATAATCTCAAACACTTCACTCCCCAATAAAAACATCCATCTTTCACTAAATAAACAAAAAATTTAAATTAAAAAAAAATATAAAAATGGAAAACAGAATTCATTCGGCACTTCTCATTGCCGCCATTGTTGCCTTGGTGTCTGTGCTTGGCGTCGCCGGAGCCGCCGAGAAAGCCGGAGCCGGCGAGAAATTCGAAGTCACTGGCACGGTATATTGTGACGTGTGTCGTGCCAAATTTGTCACCAGAGTCGCTGAAAGGATGCCCGGTATTTTTTAAATATATATATATATATATATATATATATATATATATATATATATATATATATATATATATATATTTTATATATATATATTTTATTTAATCTCTGAAATTTAGGTCTTCGAAAAATAAGTCCTATGAATAGTTAAGTTGATTTTTGAGTGGCAAATCAAGAGTGTGAGACTGAATCCTAACTCCCATAGTGTAGGAGTTACACCTATAGGAGTTACACCTAATATATAGGGACATAGCCCTTACTTAGCAGCCGCACCGTGGAGTTACACCTAATGTTTTGGACTCCTTATGAGTATGGACACTTGTTCTCTCACTTGATGGGTCGCATTTATCACCCTTACACCTAATATAGGGATAGAGCTGGAGCCCATAGCAGCTGCAGTGCGGAGCCACGCTACACCTAATGTTTTGGACTTCTTGTGAGTACAAACACTTGTTCTCCCACTTGATGGGTTGCATTTATAACCTTTGTCTCTAGTCGCTGCAGTGTAGAGTTGCACCTAATGTATTTGACTCCTTGTGATCGAGTACCGACACGGGTCATCTCACCTAATGGGTTTGGATCACATTTATCATCTTGTTCCCATTCGATGGGTTGCATTTATCACATCTACAGATTGTGTCGGGTAGGAGTGTACAGATTCTGTCGGGTAGGAGTGTGGCGTCTCTGGTTGTCTAAATTCCTATACAAGCTAATCATGCGTTTTTTTGATTATATTTAGGTGCGAAGGTGAGATTGGAGTGCCACAACATAACAGACGGGAAATCCACCTATAGCGTGGACGGTGAAACCGACGCCAACGGCGTCTACCACATCACTGCGGAGGGCGACCACGAGGACGAGTATTGCGGAATCAAGCCGGTGAAGAGCAGCAAAGAGGACTGCAGCGAGATCATAAAGGACGGGTGGGCAAAAGAGTTCACAAGAATCACCCTCACAACCAAGAATGGCATGGTTAAAAAGACCAGAAATGTTAACCCCATTTTGTACTTGAAGTCCAAGCCAAGTGCCGTCTGTGCTGAGGTGTTCAAGGAATTGCATTACATCCCAGGAGAAGATATTCACCCTTGAATTCAACAACACCGCATGCAATGCCGTTTTCTATGATCCCAGTTTTATCAGACTAAAAAATAATGTAGTAACCCAAGCAGCTAGATAGGTTGATTTGGCAATTTATATCCTACATTACGGCGCGCGTTGCACTGTGCGCCCAGATGCAAAACGATGTCGTTTAAATTTTATTATTTTTTTGAAATTTCCCGCCCCAGTGAATGGCAGTTAATTTTTCTTTAAAAAAAAAACCCTATGTTAAAAAATGTACATAATGTTATACTAGAATACACATAATTATATACATGTATGTACATAATTATATAACAAAATATACATACTCTTTTTAAAAGATAATACACATAATCTAACATAATATATAATAAACATAAACTTTTAACATAATACACATTAACTCTTAACATAATACACACAAATTTTCTGATTAGAATGTACATAATTGTATAAAAAATGTACATACTGTACAAACAAATATACATAATTGTATGAACAAATATACATAATTGTCCATAATTGTGTGAACAAATATACATAATTGTACGAACAAATATAGATAATTGTATGAACAAATATACATAATTGTCCATAATTGTGTGAACAAATATACATAATCACAGCAACTTCCTACCGCACCTCCACCCCAAAACGACGTCGTTTTAGGAGGCGCGCGCCGTGGTGTAGGGTATAACGATTGGGTTGATTTACAATAAACAATGATTCACTAGATTAGGAGAAAAATCTCTCTAATAAAGTATTCGATGTAACACAAAAAATAGAAATAGCATAATTTTGTCAATTAAATTGATTTTGTTATAAATTTTATTGTTAGAGTTTTTTTTTAAGTACTCTGTGATCGGTTATGCCTATTTCCTGGTTGTAGACTTATGTCAAATCTCATTATCCTCATTCCCATAAATGTAACACATGCAAACATGAAAAAAAAAAAAAAAAAAAAAAAAAAAAAAAACCAAACAAAAAAACAATTGTCAGAAATTTCTCTAGGTGGTTGGGGTAGTACTTTTTCTAAATTATTATTCTACAAGATCCATTTTGGAGACACTTAAAATTTGTAAATTTAGAGATAACAAGACAATTTTATGTAATTTCAAAATTTTAGACATTTTTGTGTAAAGTAACAATGTCATTGCCCTTTTTGGTTACTTTTAGCGTCATTGCCTTCCTCTCGCTCTCAATTTTTTTTTTTTTTTTTAAATTGAGTTCTTCTCACTTTCAATTTCAAAATTCTTCAATCCTTTCGATTTCTATCCTCCAAAGGAATTTACAAGTTTATTTTGTTATAAATTTTTATTGTGAATTTTAATGCATAATTTAATAATAAGTTAAACTTAATTAAAACTGTAATTCCCATTATTAAAATATAACTATCGATATAATAACAAATAGACAATTAAATGATTTTTTAGACTTTGATTTTTTTTTTTTAGTGTATTCATAATGCATGAATATTCATGCATATATGTATTAGTTCCTTCACATTTTTTTAGTACAGTTCCTTCACATTATTTCGATGACACCAAATGCAATTTTCTTATTTCAATTTGCTATATAAGAACAACTTTCATTACCATGATCTCTATACAAATTTTTTTATTTGTTTTGTAATGTTCAAAGAAATCATATTAATCATATTATGAAAGTGGAAGATATCAATATATTGTAATGCAACATTTTGTATACACAAAAAATATATTAAAAAAATTTGTATACACAAAAAATATAAAAAATTTAAAAAAAGAATGATGAGAACTGATGGAATTGTATTACCAGAACATGATTACAATGAGTTCAGGTGATAGGAATATATACAGTAAAGAGTCACATAGTAACTAGGAATATATACAGTAAAGAGTCACATAGTAACTAGGAGTAGGAGTTCTAGATTGACTCAAATACATAGAGTTCTAATACTCCCCCTCAAGCACACGGTACACTAATGACTTGTAGCTTGTCTCTAAGTGAAGAAAACCTAGGACCAGGTAAAGCTTTGGTGAATATATCACCAAGTTGATCTTTTGTAATGATAAAATTGACTTGAATGTCGCCTGAGGCCACCCTGTCACGAACAAAGTGATAATCAATTTCCACATGCTTGGTACGAGCATGAAAAATTGGATTAGCACTCATATAGGTAGCTCCCAGATTGTCACACCATAGCTTTGGAGTTGAAATTCCCGACACCTGTATCTCTCGTAATAATGACATGATCCATAAAACCTCAGCACAAACATCAGCTAGAGCATTATATTCAGCTTAAGTGGAAGATCTAGCAACGGTTCTCTGTTTCCTGCAAACCCAAGATATAAGATTAGTGCCTAAAAAAACTGCATACCCACTTGCGGACTTACGATCTTCTGAACAACCAGCTCAATCCGAATCAGAAAAGGCATGAATTTCCTTTGAACTAGACTGCCGAATGTGCAACCCGGGGCCGAGAGTGCCCTTGACATACCTGAGCACACGCTTGAGATGTTCCTAGTGTGATACAGTGGGGGCATTCATGTGTTGACAGAGCTGATTAACTGCAAAGGATAAATCGGGGCGCGTGACTATAAGATATTGTAACGCCCCTGCTAGACTCCTATACTATGTAGGATCATCTTATGAATCTGCACTGAATGGAATATGTTTCGAAACAGGGATAGGAGTAGAAAGAGGTTTGCACTCAGCCATTCCAACACGTTTAAGAATATCATTCATATACCTTTGCTGAGATAAAATAATACCATCATTGCATTTAACAGTTTCAATACCCAGAAAGAAATTTGGCTCACCAAGATCCCTGATTTTGAAAGCAGCTGATTGTTTTGATATTAAGTGGGAAACCAGAACCTGAACACTTCCCATTACAAGAATGTCATCCACGTAAACCAACATATAGTCTAAGGCAGAATCCTTAGAATAAAAGAATAGAGAGACATCTGTTTTGGATGCTTGAAAACCAACTGATAATAAAAAGACATGCAAACGATTAACCAAGGCTCTAGGACCCTGTTTTAATCCAAATAGAGATCTCTTTAGAAAGCAGATATGAGATGGAAAATTAGTATCAACATAGCCAGGAGGTTGCTTCATATAAACAGTTTTAGCAAGATTGCCATTCAAGAAGGCATTATGGACATCCAATTGCTTGATAGCCCATTCCGAAGATAAGGCTAAAGACAAAAGAAGTCTTACAGTTGTAGGTTTTACCACCTGTAACACCCCAGATTTTCAGGATATTTAAAACTTATAAATTAAGGGTGAAATCTCATTAAATCCCAAACAGAGTACGAGTGTACGGGGTGCTATGCCACACCTGAGCTAGAGAACTCAGGTGCACAGGCTAACTAACTAATGTCTCAAAGATATGAATGCATAAACATGGCACGCAGGCCGAAAGGGAAACTAACTATTTCTATAATCCAAGCTCTAGCGCACTCCAGTGACTTAATCTTCTGTGCCTGAAAGCCAAATATATCTGTTCAGCGAGAGATGCTGGTAACCCACTCCAACGTGTTGAAATACATTACATATAGAGATATATATATAGATATACGAAAAGTCATTTCGAAGCATGAAGATATATCCTACGAGACTCAAGCTTTTAAAACCTGGAATGGCTCGACAGATAAGGCTAGACACAAGCAACAATTATAACCAGCGTATATGATCCACAACAGGCAAGACAGATAAAGATAAGCACAATTAATAATCACAACCCAACATAAACAATCCCTAGCATAAATCCCATAGTCATATCCCCCAATATACTCATAAACACAACTCGTCCATATCTCATCACATAGCACACTTTGTTGGCGCCACAGGACCAATCGCATGCCCATACATGAGGGTCAGCGCATATAGCTCTGACACGGCCCCGCAGCACCCTGCCCCGTCTCACCTTACGGAGGAGTCGATCGCAACCGACTAATGGACCTTTGTCCTACATAATATTTATATACCTGACCGGTCTTTACCAGCCTTGTTAACAGTTGGGATGGTTCTCAGCCCATTCAACTGCCCGTATAGTGGACCTTTGTCCTATATAATATTTATATACCTGACCGGTCTCTACCAGCCTGGTTAACAGCCGGTATGGTTCTCAGCCCATCCGACTGCACGTATAGTGGAACTTAGTCCTATATAATATTTATATACCTAACCGGTCTCTACCAGCCTGGTTAACAGCCGGTATGGTTCTCAGCCCACCCGACTGCCCGTATAGCCCGATTGATCTTAACCAACTCGGGGTTACATGCACACATAACACATAGCAAGTACATGCAACCAACATTAACACATTGGGAAGGGGGAGAAAACGTATAACAAAACCTATGCGTGATCCATCACATACTAAGAATAGTCCTAAGGGATTCATGCTTCTTCCACCTAGGTCAACGGGATACCAATTCAACTAGCATGCAATATAATAGACTCATAAACCTACGAACGGTACCCGAAATATCAAACTAGACATAGGCACGATTAACGGAGTCCGTTGGGACACCACGGGGGACGGGGAAACATCAAACGGGGAAGCCGGGTGTAACACCCCGTGTTACGGCCCCTAAAACCATTTAATTAATCAATCAATAAGCCCAAGAGAAGGAATAAATCATAATGATTAATTAGGGAAAAAGGCCCACCATAGTCCATGGGCCCTCATATATAAACCCAACCCCTAAACCCAATCCTTAGTTCCGAAAGGAATAGAATTAGCAAGCCTATAATATTAGTTCCTAATTAGGACTCCTAAATATATAAATAAGGGACTTAGGAGACACCTAGAACTTCCCACACACCTAAACGCCCCACCTCCCCAGGAGAGCTCCAAGAATTCCCCTAGAAGAAAGCAAGAAAGCAAGAAAGCTTAAAGAAAGACCCTTCATAGCCAAGGAACTAATTAAGGCTAAGAGGTAACCCATGTCTCAACAAAACCTATTTTCATAGCTATGATTTCCCCCTTAGGGTTTCCCCATATTATTGTGTATTAATGACTTGTGATAATTATTGTTGATGATTGATGTGATGATCCCATGGGGGATCTTGATAATCTTGATATTGAGAGATTCTTGATAATTATGATATTCTTGATGATTATATGGAGTTCCTGATGATTATGTGTTGTTCTTGATAATTGGGTGATGATCT